CTGGCGGGGCCGGGCAGGGCTGTGTCACCTCGGTGCCCTCCAGGTGGCCTCACCTGGGGCAGGTGACCCCCCCGGAGGGGGCCCGGCCTCCGGCCACACCTGCTCTGAGGGCTCTCGAGTGGCCAAGTGGGGACAAGGTGACCGCGGAGGGACATTGCGGGAGGGGGAGCGGGGGGGCCACACCCGGGGAGTGGCAGGGGACAAGGAGGGGGGGATGGGCAGGACCGGGGGGGATACGGGGACATTAGGGGTGGAGGAGGACACGGGGGTGTGGGGACATGAGGGGGAACATGGGCATATGGAGGTGGGGGAATATGGGGGAACAAGGGAAAAAGGGGTGGACGTGGGGGTGTGGGGACATGGGGACATCGAGGGCTGTGGAGGGACATGGGAGAGTAGGGGGATGTGGGGGAACAGGAGAACATGGGGATGAGGGGAGAGAGTGGGGGGACATGGGGGGACATGGAGGTGTAGGACCGTGGGGATCTGGGAGGAACATGGGGACCTGGGGGTAGGGGGACACGGCAGAGGGGTGTTGGTGGTCTAGGGGTGGGGGGACATGAGAGGTGGGGGAGGATATGGGGAGATTGGGGACATGGAGGGATGTAGGGGGACATGGGGCTGTGGGGACATGGGGCAACATAAGGGGACATGGGGGGAATGTGGGGGTGTGGGAACATGGGGACCCCAATGGGGACATGGGACCCCAGTAGGGACATGGAGACCTTGAAATGGGGCCCTGGCGGGGACATGGCCGTAGGGGACACAGGGACATGGAGTCAGTGGCAGAGTGACAGGGCGGGGGTGGCCGCCCCCCCCCGTGTCCCCGCGGCTGTGACACACCTGTCCTCGTGCACTGGCACCGACCCAGGGCCACGTCCCGCGGGCTATAAGAGGCCCCGGGCTCGGCCCTGCCAGCACCGCCGCTGTCCCTGTCTCTGTCTCTGTCCCTGTCTCTGTCCCTGTCTCTGTCCCTGTCTCTGCCCCCGCCATGGCCCTGCCGCTGCCGCTGCTCCTCGCCCTGCTCGGGGCCACCCCAGGTAGGGCCCCCGTACCCCCAAACCGGGAGGTACCCCCAGAGCTGGGGACACCCCCAGGGACCCCGTGGTGGGGCGAGGGGGCTCAGACACGGGGGTGCCTCTGGGAGGAAGGGATGTCCGGAGGAGGGGTCAGACCCTGAGTGCCCCCTTGGGGTCTCAGGGTACTGAGGGGTGTTATTGGGGGGGGTCCCCGACATCTGGCTCCCCCCATGAGCGCTGGGGGTGGGAAAGGGCATCTTGGAGGGGCAGGGTATTGAGTTGGGGATCCCAGACAGCCGAGTGCCCCCGTGGAGGGAGGGGGTACAGTTTTGGGGTGGTGTGTACACTGGGGAGGGTCCTGGGTGCCTGGATCCCACTGGGATGGTGTATTGGGGGGGGGAGGGGGCTGGTCCTGGAGGCTGACCAATCCCCCATGAGGATTGGAGGGGGGTGTATTTGGGGGTCCCAGACACTCAGGTTTCCCCCGTGAGGGTTGGGGTGAGGTACTGGGGGGGGGGTGTCCTGGACTCCCGGTCCCCCCCGGCTCGGCGCTCACGGCCCCACAGGTCTGGGGGCGCCGGGGGGGGGGCTGTGGGGTGCCCCCCTCTGCCTGGTGCCAGAGCTGGGACACTGCCCTGCGCTGCGGGGCCCTGGAGCACTGCCCCCTCCTCACCCAGAGACCCCCTGATGTGGTGAGAGAGCCCCCCCGTGTCCCACCACCCTCCGTGTCCCGATCACCCCCCACGTCCCTGTCACCTCCTGTGTCCCCTGTGTCCCCCCACCCCACCCCACTGTCTCTCTACCCCCTGCATGTCCCCAAAATCCCACAGGGGTCCAAAGACCCTCCCACGGCCCCACACCAACATGTCCCCATGCACCCTCCTTGGTCCCCCCCTGTTCCCACATCCACATTTCCCCACACACCCAAGTCCCAGAGTCCCCATGGCCCCAATCCCCGTGTCCCAGAGTTCCCATGTCCCTGTGTTCCCACATCCCCATGTCCCAGAGTCCCCATGTCCCCGTGTCCCCACATCCCCATGCTACCCCATCCCCATGTCCCACGTCCTCGTGCCCCCCCACATCCCTGTCCTCTGCTACCGTTCCCCCCATCCCAGTGTCCCCAACTCCCCATGTCCCCGTGTCCCCACACCGCCGTGTCCCCGCTGTCCCCTCCCGCAGGACACCTGCGCCCTCTGCCAGCAGCTCTTCGCCTTCCTCCACCGCGTGTCCAACCAGTCGGCCGTGCAGGTGCCCGCGGGACAGGGGGACACGGCGGGGACAGGGACAGAGGTGTCACCGTGGGGGTCACCGTGGGGGTCATCGTGGGGCCGGGGGCAGAGGTGCCACTGAGGGTGTCACTGGGGGTGCCACTGGGGGTGCCACTGAGGGTGTCACTGTGAGTGTCACTGTGAGTGTCACTGTGAGTGTCACTGTGAGTGTCACAGGCACAGGTGCCACTGAGGGTATCTCTGGGGGTGTCACTGAGGGGGTCACTGAGGGGGTCACCGTGGGTGTCACCGTGGGTGCCAGCAGGTGTCATGGAGGGAGGTGCCACTGGAGGTGTCACTGTGGTTGCTGAGGTGGTGGCTGTCGCTGTGGGTGCCACTGCAGGTGCCGTGGTCACAGATGCCACCACGGGTGCCATGGTGGTGGGTGCCACTGTGGGTTTCACTGTGGTCGCTGAGGTGGGCAGTGAAGTGGTGGCAGATGCCAGCGGGTGCCACGGTGGCACCACGTGTGCCATGGTCACAGATGCCACCACGGGTGCCAGTGGTGCAACGGTGATAGGTGTGGCAGTGGTGGGGGTGGCGGTGTCGATGTCCCTGTGGGTGTCCCTTGGGTGTCCCCTGGGTGTCCCTGGGTGTCCCTGGGTGTCACCGGGGTGCCCCAGCGCAGGTGGCAGTGGAGCAGGTGCTGGGGGCTCTGTGCCTCCCGCTGCCCGTCCTGGCGGCCCCGTGCCAGTCCGTGGTTCACTCACTCGTCCCGCGCGTCCTCCGGGAGCTCCAGCACCTCGTGAGTGGCACGGGGGGGGACGTGACCAGGGCACACCCCGGGGTGCTGGGGCCTTGGGGACACTGTGGCACCTGGGAAGATCTCGGGGGGCTGGGGGCAGTGCCATTCAGGGACTCCCTGGGATGCTGCAGGTTTGGGGACATCGCCAGGGACTGGGAGTTTGGGACACTTTGGGGTGCAGAGGGTTTGGAGACACTTGGGTCACCTGGTCATGCCCCATCCTGGGGTCCCTGTCGTGCCCCCCAGGTGCCCCGGCAGATCTGTGCCAACCTGAAGCTGTGCCCGGCAGAGCCCGGCAGTGCTGCAGCCATGCCTGCCCTTGGGACACTTGGCACCCACCCACAGGTATGGGGGTCCCGGGGGGGCAGCAGGGGTGGCTCCGAGGGTGTCAGCAGGGCCACCACGGGGCTGGACCCCGCTTGGGGGGCACAGTCAGGGGCAGCCCCAGCCCTGGGCTCCGCAGTGAACATCCCACAGGAGGCCAAAACCCCACCATGGGGCTCGGGTGAACCCCCTCCTGCAGATCCCACCACCCAACTCCAGAGGGAACAACCACCCACAGGAGGCCACAGACCCCCATCAGGCTGCAGAGTGACACCTTCCCACAGCCACAACCCCACCACTGAGTGACCCCCCTCCCGCAGCCACAACCCCACCAAGTGACCCCTTCCCACAGCCACAACCCCACCACTGAGCGACCCCTCCCCAGAGGGAGTTGCAGCCCCACTACTGGGCTCTGGAGCAAATCCTCCCTCCAGGAGAGCACAGTTCCACCACTGGGCTCTGGAGTGAACCCTAACCCCAACCCTAAACCCCCCCACAGTTCCACCCCCGGGCTCCAGACTGAACCCCCCCCCAGGACTCCAAAGCCCCCTGGGCTCGAGCACTCCCCTCCCCCCAGGCCCAGCCCGGTTCTGGGTTCCTGTTGTCCCACGGGAGGCCACGATGCCACCCTGGGCTCAGTGACCCCCCCGGGTCACTGGGCTCAGAGTGACCCCCTCTCCCTCCCGCAGGAGCCCCCCCCGGGCCCGGTGGCACTGCCGGTGCCCCTCCCGCTGTGCTGGCTGTGCCGCACCTTCGTGGCGCAGGCCGAGGCCGCCATCCCCGTGCCCAGGGTGGCCGCGGCGGCCACGGGGCTGTGCCGGGCGCTGCCGCTGGTGGCCGTGGGCGCGTGCCAGTGCCTGGCCCAGCGCTACGCCACCCTCCTGCTCGAGGGGCTGCTGGGCCGCCTGGGCCCGCGCCTGCTGTGCCGCCTGCTCCTCGCCTGCCGGGGCACCGCGGACGACGTGGGCGCGCCGCCGGCGCTGCTGGAGGCCATCGTGGTGCGGCTGGCGGAGTGCGTGGGCCCCGAGGTGAGGGGACAGGTCCCTGGGGAGGTGACGGGGCACCCCAGGGTGGCACAGTGCCGAGGGAGTCCCACCACCCCTGGGCACACCATGAGGTCCCCAGAAGGTGTCACCCCCACGGAGAGGACACTGTCACGGTCCCCAAGGGTGTCACAGCCCCGGGGAGGGGGTTCCAGGAGGCTCCCTGGGGTGTCCCCACCCTTGGGAGAACCCCTGACCCCCATGTCCCCCCTGCAGGACCTCAAGAGTGTCGCCCCACCCGCACTGTCACCCCCCCTGGGCCCCTGTGCCCTGGGCCCCGTGTACTGGTGCTCCGGCCCCGAGCCCGCCCGGCGCTGCCAGGTGAGTGGGGACGGGGGGACATGGGGGGGGGTGGCACCCCCCGCATCCCCCACTGACCCCTCTGTGCCTCCCAGGCCCTGCAGCACTGCCAGGAGCACGTCTGGCTGTAGGGGGGCCCTGGGGGCCCCCCCAGCACTTCCCAATAAAGTTTGGATGCAGCTCTGCCTCTGTGTTCCTAGTTTTTTGGGGTGTTTCTGGGGGTCACGGGGTGCTGGGGGGTCTGGGGAGGAAGCAGTGGAAACCACGACCCCCCTATCATAAAAAAGAGAAAAGGTGAAAATGAGCTACAAAAATAAGTGGGTGGCATTTATTTGGGGTGGGGAGAGACACACCAGGAGGCTTGAGGGTGTCCCCAGAGGGGTTAAGGGTGATCCCAAGGAGACCTAGGTGTTCCCAAGGGGCTCAGGGTTTCCCCAAGGGGCTCAGGGTGTCCCTGGGGCTCTCTGGGTGTCCCCAAGGGGATCTTGGGGTGTCCCAGAGACAGTTGTTGATGCTTCCAGGGGGGTTCTGGATGTCCTCAAAGGCGTCTCTGCATCTCCACAAGGGACTGGGAGTGATCCCAAGGGGGTCTCTGGGTGTCCCCAGGGGTCTCAGGCCCCTTGTTGGTTTGTCTCATCCTCCTCGCGCCGTTTCCAGATCTGTGGGAGACGGGGAGGGGTGGTCAGAGCACATCCTGGGGATGCCAGGGACATCCTGGAGGTGCCAGCTGCCCCCTGCCCCCCTCACCTGGATGTAGGCCTCGGACAGGGTGATCATCTGTGGTAGGATGTCGGTCACCTGCAGGTCCTGCAGCTCGTACCACTTCCCTGTGCCCTGCCAGGACCAGGAGGGGACAGGGTGGGCCAGGGGGTCCCTGTGGCCCCCCAGGGCCCCCCGGGAGGGGGACACTCACGTGGTGCAGGACGTGGATGCGGTAGGAGCCCTCCGAGGGTTTCCCGTCGTGCACGATGTTGGCGATGAGGTCGTAGGTGGTGTGAGCGTGCGCCGCCTGCACCTCCTCCGACAGGTACTCCCGCAGGTCCACGTTCCTGGGCACCCCATGCGCCTCAGGGGGGCAGGGGAGCCCCCACAGACCCCTCCAGGTGCCTCCAAACCCCCTCCAGATGCATAGACACCCCCCTCCCCAGACACCTCCAAACCCCTTCTCGGTGCCCACATGCACTCAACTCCCCCCAGATGTTTTCAAACCCTTCTCTGATACCCCCAGAACCCCCCAAAGATGCCCATAACACCTCCAGATGCCCACAAATCCCTCCCAGATGGCTACAATCCCTCCCAACACCCATATACCTTCTCCAGGCACCTTCAAACGCCCTCCCAGATGCCTCTACCATCTCCTAGATACCTACAACCCTCCTCTAGGCACCTTCAAACATCCCCCACGTCCCCAATCCCCTCCTAAATGGTTTTAAACCCCATCAAGTGTTTTCAACCCTTCCCCAAGTGCCTTCAAAGCCCCTTTAGATGATTTCAAAATGGTAAACCCTCCTCCTGGATACTTTCAACCCCTCTTAGATACCTACAACCCCCTCCACACACCCACAACCATCCCTAGACATCGTCAACCCTGCCCCGCCACTCACAATCTCCTCTGGGATGCTTTTAACCCCCTCCACACGCTCCCAACCCCCCCCCCCCCCCCCCATTCCCCCCCCCCCGATCCCTTTAGATGATTTCAAACCCCAAAAGCCCCTCACGGATGCTTTCAACCCCTCCTAAGACACCTACAACCTCACACACACACCCACAACCATCCCTAGACATCGTCAACCCCCACCGTCTCCTCTCAGATGCTTTAAACCCCCTCCCCAGGCTCCCAGCCCCCCCAACGCCCCCAGCCTCCCCCCAGCACCCCCAGCCCTGGCTCACGTGATGGGGAAGTTGACAATGGTGGGGTTCTTCTCCACGAAGAAGTTGTTCTTGGTGAAGCGTTTGATGCAGAAGATGAGGTAGGGGGGCAGGCGGGTCAGCTGGAAGCGCTTCAGGAAGTTCTCCTTGTAGGTCTTGTACTCCTTCTCGGTGCTGCCGTTGAACTTGGCCAGGATGCTGAACAGGGGCACCTGAGGGATGATGAGCTGCTCCTTCTCGTCCTTGTAGAGTGGGGCCGTGGGCAGGTCCAGGGTCAGGTACAGGAAGGTGGACTCCACCATGCGCTCCTGGTACTCGCTGTTCTGCAGCAGCTGCGCCTTCTCCTCCGCGGGCTGGGGGGTGGGACCCCTGGGTGACACCCCTGTGGGACCCCAACACCCCCCCCTTGGGCCCCAACGGCCTCCCCCAGACCCCGACACCCCCACTGCACCCCACCCCCCCCCATTCTACCCCGCCACCCCCATCTGACCCCAATAACCCCCCACTGTCCCCCACCACCCCGCTGGACCCTGACACCCCCAGTTGACCCTGACACCCCCAGCTGCACCTCACCACCCCTTGTTTGAACCCAACATCCCCCACCATACCCCACGGTACCCCAACACCCCCCCACCATACCCCAACACCCCCCACCATACCCCACTGTACCCCAACACTCTCTCCCAGACCTTCCCTGGCCTCAGCCTCCATTTGAACTCATCACCCCCCACTGCACCCCAACACCCCCATGTGAACCCAACACCCCCGTGTGACCCCAACCCTCCCACTCCCCCCATTCCCACCAGGTCGGGGTGTGGCAGTTTCTTGGTGAAGATGCGCATGGAGCCCTGGAACACGTCGGTGACGATGGCTGTGGGGACAGGGGGGGCTCAGCAGGGACAGCAGGGACACAGAGGCCCCCCCGGACCCCTCAAAATCTCCCTCCACCACCACTCACTCTTCTTCTTCCTCTTGGTGCCGCCCAGCGCCGCGTGCAGAGCGTTCAGGAACCAGGACAGGAATTCCACCCCGTCCCCTGCAATGGGGGCACAGCAGGGCTGGAGCCAGAGCTGACCCTGGATCCTGCTCTGCCCCACCCAGCACTGCCCCTCAAATCCAGCACTGTTCCCCACATCCTGCTCTGCCCCTCAAATCCTGCTGTCCCCCCACATCCTCCTCTGCTCCCTCAAATCCAGCTTGGCCCTCATATCCAGTGTTGCCACCCAAACCCAGCACTGCCCCCAAATCCAGATCCCCCAGACCCAGCCCAGCCTCCAAATCCAGATCCCAGATCTACTGCTGCCCCCAGATCCAGAGCCCCCCTGAATCCAGTCACCCAAACCCAGCCCTATCTCCTGTATCCAGAGCCCCCAGACCCAGCCCTGTCTCCAAACCCAGCGGTGTCACCCTGCACCCCAAACCCAGAAACCCCTGGGTCCAGCACTGCCCTCAAATCCAGAGCACCCCAGGTCCAGAACTGCCTCTCAAATCCAGTGCTGTCCCCCAAGACCCAGAGCCCCCCAGGCCCAGCACTGCACCCCGAGTGCAGAGACCGCCAAATCCAGCCCTGCCCCCCAAATCTAGAGTTCCCTGGGTCCAACTCTGCCCCCCAAATCCAGCATTTCTTCTCCAATCCAGCACTGCCCCTAAATTTCAGCCCTGCTCCCCAAACCCAGACCCCCCAAAGCCCACCCTGCTTGGTGATCTGGAAGTTCTTCTTGCTGCAGAGCACCACGGCCTGGAGCATCTCGTGGGGCGACACGTGAGCCTTGAAGTTCCTGGGGTTCCAGAGCTTCCTCATGAGCTCCCCGAAGCGCTGCACCAGCAGGAACATGATGTCCCCGGGCGGGCGCTGGATGCGCCGGTAGTTCTCCTCCTCCAGGAAGTAATTCCGCAGGGGGGGCACGTTGGACAGGGCCTGGGGGGCAGCAGGGGGGATTCAACCCCGGGACCCCCAGAGAGGGGATCTGAGAGGGTTTTGGAGGGTTTCTGAGGGCTGCACCCCCAGCAGGTGCAGAGCCCCTGGGGCAGGACGTGGGATCCATCCCCAGAGCGGAGATTTAGGGGTTATGGGGAGGATTCACCCCCAAAAAAACCCCTGCATGCCCTCTGTGTGTAAAGTCTGTGGGGCAGGAGGTGGGATTCATCCCCAGAGCAGAGATTTAGGGGTTATGGAGGGGTCTCATGCCCAAAAAGAAGCCTGCATGCCCTCTGTGTGTAAACCCTGTAGGATTCATCCCCAGAGCCCCCAGACCACAGATCTGGAAGGGGGCTATGCAGGAGTTTCACCCCAAAACAAAGCTTGTACCCTCAAGGTGTAAAGCCTGTGGGAAAGGATGTGGGATTCCCTCCTGGGAACCCCAGAGTGGGGTTTTGGGAAAGGGTTTGGGACAGTTTTGAGAGGACTTCATCCCAAAATGAAACACCTGCACTCCCCTGTGTGTAAAAGCTGTAAAAAGAGAGGTAGGATTCCTCCCCAGAACCCCCACAGTGGGGTTTTGGGGGGGGTTATAGGATGGTGTCACCCCAAAACAAAGCCTGCACTTCCCAGGTGTAAAGCCTACGAGAGTGGACATGGGATTCATCCCTGTCAGCCCCACAGCAGGGTTCTGGGGTGGTTTCACCCCAAAATGAACTCTGTACTCTTCAGGTGTAAAGTGTGAGACAGGAAATGGGACTCATCCCCAGGACCCCCAGAGTGGGGCTGTGCTGGGGGTTCACCCCAGACAAAGTCTGTACCCTCCCACGGTGTATCTCCCATGGGAAAGGTGGGGTTCACTCCCACAATCCCCCCGTGGGGTTCTGGGGGGCTCTGGGCTGTTCCCCCCCCAGGAAGGCCCGTCCCAGTGACCTGCAGCACGGCATTGGCGTAGTCGTTGGCCTTGATGTTGTTGAGCCCCACGATGCCCGGCAGGTACGTGGTGCCATCGTAGGCCCGGGACAGCTTGGCCTGTTTGTCCAGGTGGGCGATGTGCTGGGCTGTGAAGGTGGGCTTGAGCACGTACTGCGGGGAGAGGCACCCCTCAGAATGGGGGGGACCCAAACCTGACCCCTCAGAATGGGGGGGTCCCAAACATGACCTCTCAGAATGGGGGGGACCCAAACATGACCTCTCAGAACAGGGGGGGATCCACAGCTGACCCCACAGGATAGGGGGAACCCACACCTGACCCCTCAGCATGAGAGGGACCCCAAGCCTGACCCCCTCAGAATGACGGGGACGCAAACTGATCCCCCTCAGAATGAGGGTGCCCAAATCTGGCCCCTCAGAACAAGGGCAACCCCAAACCTGATTTCTCAAAACAGAAAAAACCCAAACCTGGCTCCCATCAGAACAGGGGTATCCCAAACTGACTCCCCACAGAACAGCAGTACACCCAAACCTCACCCCTCAGAGCCAGGGTACCCCAAACCTGACCCCCCTCACAGCTGAGGCACCCCAACGCTGCCTCCCCAGCAGTGGGTGCCCCCGGTGCCCCCGCACCGTGATGTCCTCGAGGGAGGAGTCGATGATCTCGTAGTTGTCAGGCAGGCAGTAGAACTTGAGTGTGTGCAGGTTGAGGAACACGTGGTGGCTCAGCTGCACGCTGTGGATGTAGGCATGGGACTTCAGCCCGCGGCCTGCAGGGACAGGGGACACCATGGGGCTCAGGGGGGGGACACCATGGGCTCGGAGGGGCCAGGGGGACACCATGGGCTCAGGAGGGGACACCATGGGGCTGTGTGGGGGCCAGGGGGACACCACAGGCTCAGACGAGGACAAAGGGGGGACACCATGGGCTCAGGGGTGTCACTGCAGGAACAGAGGGGCAAGGAGGGGACACTCAGGTCACCAAAGAGAGAGAGGCACACAGAAGCCACGGGACAGGACAGGCAGGACAGAAACAATCCCTCGCTCATGTACAGGGGGAGCTGTGCCCTCACCAAGGGTCCCTGTGCCCCCTGCAGCACCCCAGTCCTAGGTGTCCCCCACGTCCCACCCCCAGCAGCACCTCCATCCCTGTGTGTCCCTGTCCCCCCCAGCACCCCAGTCCCTGGATGTCCCCCATTCCCCCTCGCTCCTGAGTGTCCCTGTCCCCCACAGCAGCCTGTTGTCCCCATGTCCCCCACACAGCCCCCACGTGTCCCCCGTGTCCCACCCAGTTCTGGGGCAGGTCTCACCCTGGAAGTACTTCCCGCAGACCAGGCAGGCATAGACATTGATGTGGGACAGGGAGATGGAGCAGAGCTTCTCAAAGTCGAAGTCCAGGACACTCCTGGGGAGGGTCACAGGGCTGAGGGGGGCTGAGGGAACCCCAAGGCACAGGGGCACCCGCAAGAGGGGCAGGGGGAGCCCCCCAGCCCCCCATCACCCACTTATTGATGGTGTCCAGGTAGGGGCAGTGGCGGCTCCGCTGGTCCTCGGGGTCGAAGCGGCCGTAGCGCACTAGGGGTGGGGGAGATGTTAGAGGAGGGCACAGGGTCCTGACAGCACCAGGGCGATGCCCCCCTCCTTACAGACCCTTGGGGCTGAGCCCCAGCTCCCTCTAGTACCTCCAACCACTGCCCAGAGCTGAGCTCAGCACCGCCACAGTCAGTCCCTGTGCCCCCCTGGGAATCCCTGGTGTGTCCCGCACCATCCCCACAAACTCTCCATTCCCACCCTGGTGTGTGTCCCCATCCCAGTGTCCCCCCAGCCACTCCATTCCCTGCCACCCCCGCTGCCCCTCCTACACCCCCATGTGTCCCCCGATACACCCCCGCGTCTCCACTCCCCAGTGCCCCCTCCCAGACACCCCAGTTCACCCCCACCCCACCGTCCTGCCCCCCCCCAACCCCAGTGTCCTCCCGGACATCACTGTGACCCCCACACACCCTCCCCAGTGCCTCCCAGATCCCTCGGTGTCCCCTCACACCCCACAGCCCCCACCTCCCCTGATGCCTCTCCGGTGTCCCCCAGACCCCACAGCGGTGTCCCCCCACACACCCCTCCGGCTCTGTCCGCACCCCCCCAGTGCTCCCCACCCCTCCAGTCCCGTCCCCACTA